AAAAAAATTAGAATTCTTGATGTCGCTAAATTGTGCACATATTCAATTTGTAATTTTGTATATGATATTATTCATGGTAATCTTCCACATTCTCTGCAAACATACAACTTTAAGTACTTACAGCACTGTCACAATATCAGACAAAGGCACCTATGTGACTAACATGTTCCACAAATGAATACAACTATAGGCCAATTTTCAATCTCGTATTTAGGAACTAAATTATGGAACAGTCTGCCTGTCACATTAAGATCACAACCAAAGCATATATTCAACCAAAAAATGAAGGATTTACAATTGGCGAGATACACCACATAACTTTATTTTGATTCTTTACTATAATCTTCTATTTACTTATTCTGTTTAGCGCCAAATATTTAAAGTATTGTATATTTATTTATGTTTAAAGAAATTTGAAAAGATTAGCTTCCTAAAGCTATTTCAAATTCCTTTTACCTGTAAATATATTTATTTATTTTTTTATTTCAGAATTGTATTTTTCACGAATAATATGGGTAATAAAACATCATCTAAATATATAATTAATAAATCACAATATATCAGACTCATCAGGACACGGTTTTTTTCCCTAAGTTTCTGGAAATCCGAGGTGTCCATGCATATCCGGAAGACACACTGAACATCAATTATGATGGCGATTCCTTATGATAATGCATTGTAATAATATGAGGTTATTACGAGGATACTTCAAAGTATTCACGAAGACAAGACAGCGGCAGTATCGACGGACGCACAGTCATTGTCTGTCCCGCGACAGAGATTGTGCTACAGTTTTGTGCTAAATTTACTCAATTATATGATATATAACATCTTGCGAAAGGAATATGCTTTGTGTCGGGAACGCAAGCGATAGTGCGCCATCAAGTGTGTGGATGTGCGTAGTGTGATGTCACTCCTCTTCAAGGCAGACACCTCCCTCCCACCCATGATTTGGCCCAACACTCAGTCACGGTGACGTTACCTTTGTCATTTGTTCAACAAACTTGATTTGCCACTTTTAGTCAAGAGTTAGGGATTTTAAGAAAAATCGTTTTTGTTTATTCAATTAACTGGATATGTTACATTGTATTCAGGATTTCTTAATAACTTTGTCGTTTATTCAAGCAATTTGTTCACTTTACCCAAATAGTTAGGTTTTTTAAATAATCCGGCCACAACTGGGATACCCAAGTTGCGGTAACCCAGTTGTGGTCTTTTTTTCAGCCAAATACAGGTGTATTTCATTGTGTAAATGGGTTACAGACACAAATATTATATATTTATTTATTCAAGGTACAGAGGCCATCGGCCTATAAGTACAAATAATGTATGTCAAGAATGTATTACAGAGCTATTATTGTGCTACAATTTGCATGGTCATGTTACCATGGCTATACCAACTCGCTTTCTACGTCTTGATAAGATTGAAGTAAGGTGCAAGATAGTTTTTTGTCAAGATTGGTCCACGGTTCTGACTTTCAATCTACTGAATAATTACACCGTGTCTCGCGTGGTGGCGCTATTTGTATCAATTGTAAGTACAGTAAAACCTGTCAAAACCGACCATGACTGGGACTGGGATCTATGGTCGGTTTTCAGAGGGAGTCGGTTTATTCAGGGTGGGCGTGACTTTGATTGAAACAACAATTACATGTGCTGTAAACACGGGACAAATGAAAGACATCGGAGTTTGCCTCCGGTGATTCTACATGTATTTACAATGTGCATTTATTGTATTGTTTCAATAAAATAATTTACCAAACAAGACAAAAATATTATGGTATGTACATGACAT